GTTTTTAAATTGACGAAGAATATGAGATTACATCATCAACATCCTCTTACGTAGATAGAGACACGCAAGATTTTTCTGATCGGATAATCAAAGTTGGAGATGGAAAGCTTGGACAAGTGATTGATGGAACTGCTGACGTTGAAATTCCTCTCAAATTTTTGATTATAGATAACAGTTCACCCCTCAAAAGTATAGCGGATTTTACCTATCCGAACTTATTGGAGAAAATGAGAAGTTATTCTTTTTTTCAAGACAGGGCACTACTAGCACCCACGCTCGAAGTTGTAGAAATGGTAAATGAATTTGTCTTATCCCTCATTTCCGGAGATGAAATGGTGTACTTGAGTTCTGATTCATCATGCCAAGCAGATTCAGATGTAGGTGTTGATGGCGACTGGATAATAGTTGAGTTTTTGAATGAAATCAAATGTTCGGGAATCCCAAACCACAAGATAGTTTTAAAAAAAGGGGTACCAATTATGTTACTGAGGAACATTGACCAAACATCTGGATTGTGTAATGGTACAAGATTAATTATTGACGAGATGCGAAAGAATGTTATTGGTGCTATTGTGGTTTCGAGAAATCGACTCGGCGAAAAAGTTTACATACCCCGGATGAATTTGGTACCGTCTGATCCAGGACTACCTCTAAAGTTTTAGAGAAGACAATTTCCAATAGTCTTATGTTTTGCTATGACTATTAATAAAAGTCAAAGTCAAACATTGTCATTTGTTGGACTATTTCTAATCAAGTCAATGTTCACTCATGGTCAGCTCTATGTTGCTGTTTTGCGAGTGAAGACAAAGACAAGATTAAAAATATTAGTCTTAGATGACAATGGAAATTCTTGTAGCCATACCAAAAATGTTGTATACCCTGAAGTCTTTCAAAAAATTTGGTATTAAAGCAAACTTTGTTGTGTGTAGATTCAGTTCCTCATATATTATTCTTTTTACTTTGCCTTTATTTTCTGTGTTATTATAAATCCTGCATGATGTATATTTCCTTTATTCCGAAAAAAAATATTACATTGAATAAATTTAGAATCGACAAGATATTCGTCCAAACCCGTGCGTGGCACGGGTAGGAATACTAGTATACTTGGTATAATCAGACATTAATCAGGATCCACAATTCAATAGGATAAACAAAACCGACATACAACTAACCCTTCTTTTTATGAAATTTATTCTTAAAAGCAATAGATAACCCGGCCAGGAGTATTTTCTTGGAATACAAAAGTAATGTTTGGCGCGAGGTAAAGAGTGGTGGAGCCGGAGGGATATATATATCACTCTCCCGGCCGGCCTTCTCATTTCCCTACCTTAAGAACAATGATAAGAATTAAAAAGACAAGAAGAACGATACAAAAAAGCATGGGGAAGAGTACCCCTGCACAACCATCACCCATCTATGCTGATCGCCGTAGGCATCTGGGAGCACTTTCCTTTCGTCTCTCAAAAGAATTATCAGTAGAAAAATATGATGTGATAAATAACGTAAAATTTAATTACGGTAAAAATCAGGAAATATTGTTTTCTTTTTGGAGTGAAATACAGAGTATTAATTTATAATACTCCCTCCGTCCCAAAAAGATTTACACCTTTCAAAAAAATTGTGTCCCACAATCTCCTACCCATTTCTATTAAAAAACCACTTTTACCCCTTAATTTTTCAAACCCTACCTATCACATCATACCTTTTTCCTAATAATCTACATATCACATCCTACTTTTACCCATCACATCAAGGGTATTTTTGGAAAATCAACACAAAATTATCTCTCCCTTAATTTCTACTTTAGTCAAAATGGGTAACACTTTATGGAATGAGGAGTACAAGATTTAGGAGGGCTCGAGGATGCACTTACCGGATATTGGTGTGTTTATTTATAGCACTGCACTGGTAAAGCAACGTCGTAATTCCATGGGAGGAAAAAAAGGCATTTTCACGGAAATTTCGCAATTAAAAAAAAGGCATTTTCATGGAAATTTCACAATTAAGATACCCACGAAGTACACCAAAGCTATACACTAACATTGCGATGGTTCATATTGACAAAATATGCCAGTGTGATCAAGAAATTCTACGCTAGCATTTTGTGTCTGTGTGTATCATTGACCTAGCATCACACTGACACAAAATGAAAATTACAATGTAGGGTACAAGTGCCTTAATTGTATAAAAAACATTTTGTTGGAGTCCCACATCGAAATAAAAGGTTGAACACGACTAGCATATACAGAAGGGTAAAACCCTACTTATTAACTTAAGTTTTTCAATTAGAATAGTGAATCTCGACTTTATATGCAAATGGATAATTTTACTCGATACTCTACTCATTGTTCTCAGCCCGTTGGAATTGTAACCTGGTATCGGAGCCAGTCCAGGTTCGATTCTTCCTGGTTATTGGACGTGAGTTATTTAAAAAAAGAGCTACCCGTCCGTGGTTGTAGTTGAGTCGGCTAAAAAGAGATTGATATATCACCGCCCGTTGTAAGGACTAGTTATAAGAGATTGAGATGCTAGACTCGTTTGTCCAAGTGTTAACTAGGTCAGACTAGTCACCACTTGAGGGAAGTGTTGGAATTCCTACACCAAAAAATAGATGAATACCACTAGCATATAAATAAGGATGAAGCCCAAGCCTTACTTATTAGGTTAAGCTTTTGAGTTAGAATAGATCCTGATTATATATGTGTAAATATTTAATTTTACATGACACTCTACACATTATTTTCGGCCTCTCCGAATTTTAACACATTTAGAAGGAATTTCGCAATTTAAAAAAGGAGAACAAATAACGAAAGTGGGTACGTAAGCAACAAATACCGAGTTTGTTTGCTTTTTTTAAAAGGAAAGACCCAGCGCAGAGATGGATAACAAATTGTCAAAAAAAACTCCGGAATAAAGGAAAAAGGTAGTGCATGTAGCTTCTTTATCTTGTGAGTTGTGATTTCAGAGATAGATACCAAATTGTCAAAAAAAATTGGATACCTCATACCAATGCTCTTTTTTTTCAAAACATACAAATAAAATTTTACGATTTCAAAATATTGTAGACACATCTTCTGTGATCATTTATCTTCTATAGTTTTAAAACATTTCGCACATACCCCTATGAAAAGGGAGCATTGGTGCATATTTTCGAAATCATAGAGGCGCTGGTGCTCTTTTTTATTTCTTGTTTATTTTTCCATTTTTTCTTTTATTTGTTTCTTTTATTTATCAAAGTTTTTACTTTTTCATTTTTTGTATAATGTTCTTAAAATTTAAAATTATTTTTGTTTGAAAGAGTAACATATACTGCATTTGTTCGTCTCAAAATTAACAATTTTTTTTTTCGAATAAAAAAAAGTAAATTTTTTTTTGAGAACTTAAAAAAATGATGAATAAAATAAGAAACCTAATAAAATAAAAAATAAAATAAAAATCCTTTTTCGACATCCCAATTCTAAGGGTTTTAGGCGTTCTGAAGATTGTTTTTTATAAGGATCTTTTTTGCATATTTTAATTTTTTCATTTCGTTTTTCTATATTTTTATTTTTTATTCTGGATTTTCCTTTTAAACTTTATAAAAAATTATTCTAAAAATATAAAATGAAAATGCTTAATTTGAGACATATGTACTGATTTTATTTTTTTTTATTTTTATATCATACGCAAAGAATTTTAAATTTTTTAAAACATTATAAAATATTGAAAAGAGATTTAAAAATATTCTAGAAGAGGAAACAAAGAGATAAATAAAATTTTAAAAAATAGAAATCCAAATAATAATCAAAAGATAAGAAATCAATATGGGTGTTCGATATGGTTAAGAAATTATGCCACAATGTATCTTCTTCCCCACAAAGGAATCTTGAGAGGTGATTGTCACGGATCACACCTTTTTGTTGACTACATGACTACACATGGTGCAAGTATTCAAATCTACACCAAATAGCATTTTGTACTCCATTCTTATTCGTTTTTAAGATACTTAGAGGGTGTTTGGGACTGATTAATTTATTTATAAAATAGTGGTGGTGAAAAGCAGAAACTGACATGCCAAACAGAGTAAAACTACTTCTACTCAAAGCAGAAGCTAAATTATTAAAAGCAACACACTCTCAAACACCCTCTTATACACCAAAATTTATGCTTAGAGCAATGCTAACAGGATGCTCACAAACTTCACAAATTTATTATTTATGGTTTAAATTTTCATTTAAAAATTATTTTAGACTATTTAATTTTTTTTATTGAAGTTCACAAATAGTAAGTTTGTGAAGTTTGTGATCATTGTATTTGTGAACCAAGCATTTCCCATGCTTAATATTGTACTCGCTCCGTCCCACAAAAAAGTTCCCATTTTGAATAATATTTAGTCAAATATTTACACGCTTTGACTACAAATTGTGAGAAAGGTATATTTGTTAGAATAAGTGACCAACGCTAGAGGGGGGGTGAATAGCGTTTGATTGTAGAAATCGCGGGAATAAAAAATTAAGAACGTGAAAGATAAAGAGCGTGGAAAGCGTAAAGGGAGCACACCAAGATTTACCCTGGTTCACCACAACTTGTGGCTAATCCAGCCCCCCTGAGAGACTCTCTCGAGCTACACTACTTCCGTTAAGCTTACGGGTGCTTAGCAAACCGTTACAACCTGAGAACTCGAGTCCCACGAGCCTCAATACACTTGCTCGGAGATACCGCACTCAAGGACTTCAACCCGAAGGAAAATACCTTTCCTTCGTACGACCAAGGGAAACAAGCTTCCCTTAATGTGTATACAACACTAAACACTCAAGAACAAGACTCTCTTTAAGAGTAGATAATGAGTAAACTAAGTACGCTTAAGAACAACTCAAACTTCACACAAATTGGCTCTAGAAAGCTATGGAAAAGAATGTTGTTTGAATGTAATGAAAATATGAATATTGTGAAGCTAATTGATGTGAAAAGCAGACCCAAACACTGTAACGCCCTGAAATCTGGCCCAAAAGAATTAATTAAATTGTTAGAGCAATTGATTACGAATTGGGCCCAAAAAGGGGTTAAAATTATAATTTGGATTTTAAGCCCAACTTTTATGTCATCTCGTAGGAAATATTTTTGTGATCGCGTCGGTTCAGACGGCTCGCGAATCGGAGTTACAGAGCTCAAGTTATGACCATTTAATCAGGTATTTTGGGTCCGAAGCCCAATCCTTTTTGGAATGGGACCATTAAATAAACATAACCACACAAACCTTATCTTTCATCCGTCCTTTTTCTTCTTCTCCTTTCTTCTTCTTCTTCCTTCTTCTTCTTCTTTCTTCTTCGCCGCCCAGCCGGTCGCGCAAGCCAGAGCCGCTGTCCCTCGCCGCCGGAAGCCCGCCGCCCAGCCGGTCGTCGCCTTCCCCAGCTTCGCCGCTCCTCGTCGCCATCCAATTGGAGCCAATCGCCCGTCGCCGGAAGCCAGCCGCTGCTTCCTTCGCCTCCAGCCGTCGTCGCCCGTCGTCGGAAGCTAGCCGCTGCTTCCTTCGCCACCTGCCGCCGCCATCACCACCGACGGGTGCAGCGCCGCCACGCCAAACGGAGGACGTCGCCAAACGCCGGACGCCGCTGCTTCGCCTTTGCCGGAAGTCCGTCGCCTCCCCTACCGGCGACCACCATAATCGCCGTCGCTGCCCAGCGCCGCCGACGACGGTTCGCCTCGTCGTTCTGCCGGACGTCGCCTCCACTGCCGGCGTCCTTCCCCGCCGTCGATTGCAGCGCCGCCAGTCGCTGCTCATCGCCGTCGAACTGCCGCTCCACTGCCGGCCGCTGCTCCGAGTTGATATCGCCGGCAGATCAACCCCACGCCGGATTGATTGGTCGATTTCGTATTTTGACTCGATTTGACCCGTTCGGTTGATTTCGTTGATTTGTCTTCCGTTCGAGCTATCGATTCGATTTCGACGTAATCCAGGTCCGTACTATGAAGTTAATAGCATTCAGAATCGATTTAATGGTTTGGATCGTTATATGTGTTTATGCTATAATTTGGCTAAATTGGTTAATTGAATTAAATTGATTGTTTGAATTGAATTGTTGAGGATTGTGAATTGACTGAACAGGTTTGACTTTGACTTGGGTTAGGTCNCCATCGCTCGGGCGGCTGCAGGGCCTGGTCAGTGAGGTTAAGACGTGCGCACGAGGGTCTGCGATCTTGGGTTTGAGGCCATCGCCCGAGGGATCCTACCTCCACCGAATTGAGGCCATCTTCGGTATTACGGATTGAGGCTATCTCCGTCATAGGAAATAAATGTTAAGTGGTTTGACTTTGGTGAAAGTCCAAATTGGTTTGACCGGTGGTCAAAGAGTTCATGAGAAAACCGTAACACCTAAATCGTTTTGAAAAGAAAGAAAATAAGTTGACTGTTGGTCAACCGTCTAAAGAACCGAATGCAAAGTTGAATTGATTTTTATTAAAAGGATAAACATATGCACGATCTTAATTGTTGAATTATTATGTTTATTCTTGTGCTACAATGGAGTACCACTCAGTGTCAATGCTGAGCGGATAGCGTTGTTTTCTTTTGCTGTCCGTAGGTGATCAGACAGATGAAACAAGAGCCGATCCCAGAGGGCATTGAGGAGGAGATGTACGATGGCGTGGCTGTCTCTTTAATGTGTTGATTATGCTTTATTTAATTAACTTTAATGCTTATTACGTTTTCGGGCAAGATCCCAAGTTGTTTGACTTTAAAAAGGCTTCCGCATTATTTTAAATTACTCCGATGGATTTTCATATGTATTGAAAGAACGTTTGTTTAAAATTGTTTTGAAAATGTCGCAAATTCGGATACCAATTCAGTAGCACGCCGGTCCGCTGTCTCACGGGTTTGGGTCATGCGGGTTGGGGTGTTACAAACACCCCTTTTTATAGTGCCAAAATAGGCTCCAACGGACCAATGCATTAAAGGGGTGATTGGCTTGATTTAGGAGATTGAATAAATTTGGGATCTGCAGGATATTGGCTTCCCATCGATGTTTAGACTCACCCATCGCTGGTAAGCCAATTTACCTTCAGTTTTGAAGCCAACGGTCACCTACCCATCGATGGGTACAAGCTTCCCATCGCTGGGTGGGAAGTTGACTTCCAAACAAGGAAAGAATCAGCCTCAAATGACTTCCAACGGTCATGCCTTCCCATCGATGGTTAAGCCTTCCCATCGCTGGGTTCCCATCGATGGATAAAGCTTCCCATCGCTGGGTAAGGGCATTCTGCCTTGTGATAATGTTGGACCAAGGCTTGAACAGTGATGGGTAGAGCTTCCCATCGTTGTTTGGCATGGTTCTGGAATTCAATTGGGCTGAAGGGTGCTTACCCATCGATAGGTAATATCTCCCATCGCTGGGTGAAATGATTCTGGAATCCCGGGATCACTTTCCCATGCATGGGTGAAATCTACCATCGCTTGGTAGATGTCTAGTCCAGAACCATGGCTTAGCCGACCGGCACTGAAACCCGACCGAAAAATGCAAAGTTCTCCAAAGTAAAAACTAAGTGTTTAAAACACTTATTTAATGTATTTTGATGTCAAAATAAGCTTTGTATGTTGAAAACCACGTCGTTAAGGTAAAAACCACAGATGACCAAGTCAATGCCGTACACGGGTGGTTTTACCAAAAGACAAAACCGAAAGGTGGTTTTCATGATGTTTTGATTGGAGAACCATTTAAATGCATTAAAAAACAATTCCTACACAAAAAGACTTGAAAACCACATCATTTAAGTAAAAACCACGGCTAGCCAAGTTTATGTCGTTTCGCATGGTTTTTATCAAACGACAAAAAACGAAAGGTGGTTTTTGAAGTGTTTTTTATGGAAAACTATTTAAATGTTCCCAGAAGTAAAAACTAATCATAAAAAGTTGAAAACCACTTGATTAGTTCGGACGCCAAAAACCAACGCCGAAAACCGAATGCCGAACGCCGGTTTCTGAAACCCGAACGCTGGATGGCTTGGTTTTTGGTTTGGGCGAACACCAAGTGTTTTTAATGTTTTAAACATGTTTGAAAAAAAATTTTATGATGTGAAATGCAATGAAAAGAATTTTAGCCTAAAGAGCCAAGGTGTAAAGATTGGGTCGGCCTTGATCACAATTGTGACTGACTCAACGACACTAAGACTACGGTCTTCGTTCTTGATCTTCTTTTGGCCCTTGTTTTCTTTCCTCTCATCTTTGGTTCTCTCCTTGTATATTCAATGACTTGTCTCGTTCACGGCGGTTTGGCATTATCAAAACCTGTCATAACAACGAACACGGCTTTGGTACGAAAACGTGATAAACCCGTGTTTCAACAATATTGAATTATAAAATAAATTTAATATAATTGGATTTATCTTAGGATCTAGTTTTGATATCTCAAATTTTTTAGTATTTTTTTTAGATTATATTTAATTTATAGTCAAACCGTGTAATTGTTTTGTAACACCCTAATCCGTCTAGGTCTGCAGCCCTATTCGGACTAAAGTATTTAACTTGGTAATCGTAAAATTTAAAACTTTTCAAACACACTTTATTAATCTCAATATTATTTTTCATAACATATACAGTACGGAGTATTTAATAATATTGCGGAAGCGAATTTAATATTGACATATCATAAATCATTTCAAAACTTGTCACATCCATCCTGACAATCTCGCCCCATCTACCGCCAGGATCACATTAATCTTTCTGTTTACCTGCGTGTAGAAAATAAAACACACTACACGCTCAGCGGTGAAGCTGAGTAAGCATATATAAAGCGTCGAACATCCACATAAATTAAATCTCAATTTATAATCAACCATTTGATATCATGCACACAATATATGGTTCAAACATTCATAATATTTTCCATATTTTATTCCAAGTCATTTGATATTCAATATATCAATAATGCTCTTAAATTATTCTTAATCCAAGGTTCATAGATCATATTAGAATTATTAAAAAATATTTTTAACATCAAATTCAAGGTTTATGATTCTTGGTTCTTCAAACATGTCAAACACAAAATTCAACCAAATGACCATTTATGGACGTAGAAACGACCTATATGAACATTCTAGTCATTAGATATATCTACGGGCTTACCTCGAAGGTAAATGATGGTTTTGAATATTTTCTGGTGAAACTTCCGGCGACTATATCTCTCTGCTCCGGCGACCTCACACAAGAATGACAACACCACTGAACTCTACTCTCATCAAGGAATAAGATAAAAGGAAGAATGAGTTGTTTTGGTGAGGAAATGAAGGAGTTGGCTCTCCTTAAATAGCCAAGTGAGGAAGGAAGAAGACATGGGTTGCAGCTTCCGTGATTGAGCGACGATTTGGAATCGGCGCAATTGAACAGGGCGCCGTTTGGTGTGTAGTAGACTAATTTTTTGTCCCAGTCGGGGTACACTTTTCAGTCCAACTTTCTCCGAATTGAAATCTGTTTGCACCTTTGCGATGAGACAGTCGAACTCTATCCAACGATATAATTTTTATATTCATTCGTTATACTTTTTCCGACACCACATTTTTGGGTGTTTGACTTTAACAGAGTCAAAATTGGTTTAATTGACCTTTCTCATAAAAGGTTCTCTCATTTAATTCATATAAATTATTCTCATGATTTATTTCAACAAATCATTTCAATATTTACATTCTAAACAAATTCTTTATTTACTCTTGATTTGGGTTTGTACTCAAGTTCCCAATCAAGACCACATAAATAGTCCACATATTGGATTTATCTATATGAGACTTATCCAGATTTTGATATTAGATGTCAAAACAAATTTTGTATCGGCCCAAAACCCAACAATAATTTATTTTAATCAAAACAAATTTGATTAATTGATTATTTATTCATTAATAATTCTAGGGTATATTTTGGGGCATTACATGTTTGACCAATTTATGGTCAAAATAGGAATTTTTTTTATGGGATGGAAGGAGTATAACATAAGTACGCACTTTTATTTTGCGGCACTGATAGTTAGTGTAATAAATTATTTTGATCACACCAACATATTCTCTTAGCGTGAATCATCGAAATGTTGGTACATATCATACACTTTGTAATAAAGTCCTTGGTTATTAAGTTGTATTTTTCCAATATGAAGAACAAATTGAATCAATTGCCCTAGGTAAATGAATAATGATGAACGCAACTTTTTTGTTGCCCCAATGTTAATGGGACAAAGACAATCCTATATATCTTTATATATAAAATTTGAGAGTTGGGTTCTTAGAATTGCGACATGTGGCATGTTGACTCGACAATTTTTTAACACCTCAGCGGCCATGTCAGCAAGAGCACTGTTTAGAAGTTTTCTTCTACGTGTTTTACGGATGGCCAGGGATTCTTCCGACTTTCCATCTTGCGCAAGATCAGATCTACAATTTTTTATTCTCGGAAATAATATTTAGTATAATATTTCTGCTTGGATTTCAATTAAACTTAAAAATCAGTGTATTATTATATGATATTTTTGAATAAATTATAGAATAAAATCGAACAAAAAATGTGTCACCACGACATATTATATTTACATTAACATTATTTATGATTTCAATATTAATGTGTTAATTTTATTATCCAATAAAGATCACCGCTTTTATTAGAATATAGTTTATAATTTTATATTTGTTCTCTTCATTTATAATAAAATTATTAAAAAATAAATAAGATTTCCTTTCTTAATAAAATATGTTTTATTAACCTCTAAAAAATTCATTGTTGTGTGTGACATGCTTAAATAAAGTAAGTTTTTATTGTATTTTTTTCAATAATGATGTACAATTTAAAAAATATTTTAATCTCTATAATAAAATACTACAAATGACTAGACCATTTTTTTAAATGATCAATATTTAAATTAAACATTTTTAAATTGAATGATTTTGTATTGGAACAAAAAAAAACAAAAAATTGAGAAAAAAATACTATGAAATGTTTTTGTTGATTACTTTTCAGAATCATAGGATTACTAATATTTTTTATATTAGTTTTTGTGAATGAATGCAGAGGGTATAATAATTGGGTTTTCAATGGTTTTTTAAATTAAATTTTTTGAATCATAGTATTCCTAATCGAAGATTATGTTTTTTGAATAATGCCAAGGAGAAAATAATCATACAAGGATTTTTTTAATCAATGTGATTGAGGAGAATCATATTAATGCGGAAGAGTATTTGTTTCACTAATAAAAATTAATACGGGATGCGGAATAAAAGATTTGTATTCTTTGAATTATAAGATCGATACTCCAGTTTTTAATTAATGAAACGAATTAATTACAGGATCACTAATTTTTGTAATTAATGGAAAAATCACATTTTTAAAAATCAATACAAGGGAGAAGAATTATATTAATGCAGGGAGATGAATCATTTTTATCCAATCTAAATTATTGCGGGCAGGGGAGAATCATATTTTTCATCCATCAATGACATTGTATAAAAATTGAGTTTATGAATGAGAATAAATGTTTGGGCTTATCTTAAGCCAAAAAGTAATTCAATTTGAAGAAAGTTGTACCCATTATGTTATTGAGGAAGACTGATTAACCATATAAATTATGTAATAATACAAGGTTAATTGGTGAAGGCTTACAAAAATCTTCTTTCGTGCAATTATAATATTGGGAAACAAATTCGTAGAGAAGGTTACATAGCCTAAATGTATTATGCTCATTTCATATAAGATTACCCTTGAGTTAAAACAAAATACAGTTTTCAAAAATTTATGGTTCGTCATGATTATTATTAAAAGTTATGGCCAAACATTTTCATTTATAGGATTATACTTTATCAAGTCGCCATTCACTAACAGTTAATTTCACATTGATGTTACAAGAGTGAGAGTAAAGTAGAGTTAAAGTATTAGTTTTAAATGCCTTTAGTACTCTTTATAACATTATACAAAAAAGAAATCACCGTAAATTGAAGTAAGACATCGAGAAAGTACACAAATAGGATCTCAATATTTTTGTCTCCAAAATAGGAATTCGCACTGTGGTAATGTGACATTGTGTATGAGTATTTCACTATATTTTTGTAATGTATAAGGTCATGAATGACATTGTAAATGTATTTTAACTCTTATTTCAAAATAAAAACATGGAACTCCTATTTTTTATATTTTCAATATTTTACTCCTACTTTAGTTTTTTTTCTCTATACAAAAATATTGTATACCTCATAGTTTTTCGAATTGTTCTAATTTAAACAAGAGTTTGACATGTTAGTTTTTAAATGTGTATAGTAAAATTATCATTAGTAAATGTAATTTATCATTATTTTAACTTTTAAGGTCGATGTTTTATATTGAAGAAAACTCCCTTAATAGGCATTAAAAAAGTATTAAAACACTAAAATAAGTCCTAAATCTTTTTAGAAAAAAATAAGAGTATAATGACAATGTGTTGTTAGAAGTACGCATTGCATTGTGATGAAAAGTACGCAGTGCATCTAATTTTGATGCACCAAGATGATTTGAAAATGCATCATGTCGAAATGCACCAAAATCCTTTAACAATGCACTATCTCAAAACCTGAGTGCATGATGCAATCTGAGCCGCACGATGCATCAGATCCAAAGGCTAGATTTTATTCTTATTTCTTTCACCAAGGTGCATTCTCACCTGAACCGGCCCATATATATATATATATATATATATATATATTATATATATATATATATATATATATATATATATATATATATATATATATATATATATATATATATATATATATATATATATATATATATATATATATATATATATATATATATATATATATATATATATATATATATATATATATATATATATATATAAGCTCTCAAAGTAACACCGACATGATAGAAATAAAAAAGACCATTTATTGAAAGATACCCATAAAAGAAGGACTACCAGAATAATATTTGATAATAAAGGACTAAATACGAAAACTTTCCTGTTATAAAAGACTAATTATGAAATTTACTCTGGAAAATATTTCGGAAAATAACAACAGTCTACAGGGCATAAAATAATTATTTGTGTTGGACCTTGTAGAAAAGAAGATTCAAGTATAAACTCGAATAAAATATGTGAGAAAATTTACATTTCACGTATCAACCTTAAGACATAATCGTGCAACTCTCTAAGAAATGTGTAAACTATAAGTGTATACCACTTCATTTTTTAGATTTTCTAGGTCAAACTAGTCTCTGTCATATATTCCCCAAACCCGAATTAGATTACAATTTTATTCTCTCTCCACTCAATAACTTTTGTTTATTTATATGTTTTCATTTACTATTTGATAAAAACATATTCTTGTCACTTCACATTTTGTAAATTTTTTGACATAATCTTTTAATATCTAATTTTTATTGGTTATAGATTTATTAATTTGTAAATAAAATAATTTCAAAATATGAGAGATTTTACCTCGTAAGTCTCGAGAGTAAGAGAGTTGAATTAACCAAAATAAGATATAATAACATTAATTAAACTATTTGTACCCCAAAATTTATACTCCAACTTGTAAATCGCATATATGGACTTTCATTATGTATCTGTGTAATCCTAATGCGAATGTGCGATAGTTCACATAGACACAAAATGATAGTGTAAATTTTTGTTAACGTATAAATATTTTTTGTCAATATGAACCATCAAAATTTAGTATATATCTTTAGTGTAACACTTTTTGGGGTAAGTGTAGGATTAGGGGTGAGCATGGTACGATATTTAGCTCGTACCGGTACCGTACCAAATATTTCGGTTCGGTATGGGATTTTACTCCGTACCGATCCCGATCCCGAAATATCGGTTTGGTATGGTTCGGTATGGTTCGGTGTCGGTTTCGGTACAAATCGGGATGAATATGTACATACCTACTTTACACGTTAAAATTTAACGATGCCCCTTTATTTTTGAAAATTAAAAAGTGATTTTAAATAAAAAAACATAAAAAATTAACAAAAATGAATATTTAAATTCAAGAGATGCATATCAAAACTTAGTTTATATTTTACAAACTAAAAAATGAATGACAATAAAAGAGTATTTCGAATCTTTGTGAATACTTTTATGTTCATATACAAAAACTAAAACTCAAATAAAAGTATAATTTACACATATAATAGAACCTAAACCAATTTTTTTTAAAAATAAATTATTATTTAGTGAAGAAATATAAAAATATTACTCTGGGGTATTATTTTTTATAATATTTTGGTATATATGTTCGGTTCGGGATTTTCGGTATGAGACATCACCTCGTTCCGTTTCCAAATACCATACCGACCATTCGGTTCGGTTTCTTCTCATTACTTTTTCGGTTCGGTATTTTTCGGTTCGATATTCTCGGTTTTTTCGAGAATTTTTAGTATCGGTTCGGTACTTGCTCACCCCTATGTAGCATGGTTGTAAAGTTGTAATAACATTACACAAGAAAGTAAAGTTTTGTCATTGGTCCTCATTGCGATAGACAAACTTTTGGAAGATCTTTTCTCGACGGCACAAAGAATATGTATAGGGAAGCGACGTTGTCGAAAGCCGGGCAAGAGAAGTTAAGAAGTTAGAAAGATGAAGCGTCCTGCTTGATTTAGAAGCAAGATGGAGGGAACTCTTTCACAGGTTTCTCCACATGTTCTTCTCTACAGACTAATAACCCAAAGTGCAAAACCAACCAAAGGATTTATAACATATGATGTCGAAATTCACATGGAGGATTGAGAATTTCTCGAAATTGGTGGCCGAAAAGCTTGACTCCCTCACCTTTGTTGTGAATGAGAACAGATGGTATGCTCCCCAACCGAGGGAGGAGTCCGACATTAATTCGTTAGCGATTCAATTAGGTATTGTGTCTGTCGTGATAAAGTTTTTCCCCTTTTTGACAGGAGGTTGAACCTTTATCCAAAAGGAGCTCAAACAACTAACTATGTGTATTTGCCTCTGTTCCTTTGTGTGGCCGATTCATCTAGCTTACCTGCAAAATGGAGGATACCAACAAAGTTCAGTATATCTATTGTTAACCAGATTGACCCCAACAAAACCATCAAGAAAGGTACGTAGCTCTCTCTATTGTTGGCAGCTCTTAATTAATCTAATGGGGGAACTATGTTCTACATTTGCATATTGTGCAGAATGTGAACAAACTTTCTATGGTCTGGCACCTAGTTCTGGCTGGTCAAATTTCATCGAGCGTCGTAAATTTCATGATGAAGTAGAAGGTTATCTTGGTGAAGACACATGTCTGATTGAAGCCGTAGTTGATGATTCTCCAGCTTCCTCATATAAAGTAAGTTTCATCTTGCTTGACAATCACCTGGTGGGTTGGTTAATTTCTGATATGCAAATTGCTAACTACACCGCACAATATACCTTATAACATTCTGCCTGTCTGTGACAAACAGGATTCGGATTCTCCGGTTGCAATTGATCCTGTGTACATTGAGGCTCAATCATTTCTTCAGTCACTGCCCAAGGCACCATCCACATGTGGAAGCCCTCTGTTTGAACGATATGCGAAAGAAATCTTCGACAAACTGATATCATATCGTTTGGATGATTTAGCTGATCCCATGAATGAAACGACAATGATGGAGTTCATTTCTGTACTTGCCAACAACATATCCGTGTTTAGTGATGTGCAGGCCAGAGAAATTGTCAACTTGAAAGCCACTTTTCCTCAAACAATGCAAGAATGGAGAGACTCGATGAGTCAAGCGAAGGGCACTGGACAGCCTTCCCGGTCTCTTTTCGAGGAGACCAAAAGTGTGCTTCAAGATTTGGTAAAAACAGAAGAGGGAATAAAGACCAAACTGGAGGAGCTGCACAAGAAAGAAACAGAATTGGAAGCAGAGTTGGAGGCCATTGAAGGCAAGAGTCAGATGCTCAAAGAGGAACGCGGACGCGTGCCAAAGCAGATGAAGATACTTTGTGGTCTTGTTGAGGAAATGGCTAGCAGTATTGGAGCTCTAGATTATGAGGTGGATTGTGCAAAGTACCTACAATTTGAGCAGAGATTGAGGTCAAATTGGGCTGCTATGAGACATCTCTTTGCCTGAGGAAGAAATATGGGGTTGCCAATCACACCCAATTTCCCTACATTTTTTTTGTTGCAATATACCGAGTATCTTTCATCCTCATTGACAATATTATTACTACTCTTTTAACTTGGCTTTACCTAATCTGAAGGCAATTTGTGAAATGCTGATGTTTTTTTTGGGAGGATGATGTCCAAAGAGCTTATTATTCTTTGTCATTATAGGTCTCTCATTACGAATGAGGCCCAACTTGTGGGCATTCAATCCCCTCCCTTTCATCTCTTCCCTTCCTTCCTTTCATCTCTTCCCTTCCTTTTATTATTAGAGCATGTCGATAACTTTTGTTTATATGTTTGTAAGAAGTTTGCAATTGACAATCAGATGACATTGCATTCCTTGTGTGGTGAATAAATACAAGTGTGGTTACACAATGCAATGGGCCCAAGATACTTAGCCCAATGAACCTATACACATAAAGTGGGCCTATACAAATACGCATACGCTAACACTCCCCCTCAAGTTGGAGCATGAACATCAAAAATGCCCAACTTGGACAATAAAGAGTGAAATAAGGGACCGGGGAGAGCTTTTGTAAAAAGATCTGCTGTCTGGAAACATGTAGGAACATAGGCAGTAACAACATGGTTGCGCTGAATACATTCACGTACTATATGACAATCAATATCAATATGCTTAGAGCGCTCATGAAAAACAGGATTATCAGCCATAAATAAGGCAGACTTGTTGTCACAGTAGAGTTTTGGCGTAGCAACACAAGGAACATATAATGCAGCAAGAAGTCCACGAAGCCAACGGATTTCTGCACAAGCATTAGCCATTTCCTGGTACTCTGCTTCCGCAGAAGATCTAGAAATAGTAGTTTGCTTCTTAGTCCGCCAAGAAATAGGTGACCCTCCAAGCAATACAAAATAACCCCTAACCGAACGTCGTGTCAAAGGACAACTCGCCCAATCGGAATCAGAAAAGGCGGTTAAAGCAAGATTACTATCACTTCGGAGGAGTATGCCCTGTCCGGGATGTCCTTTAAGGTAGCGGACTACCCGAAGGGCGGCATTCCAATGGTCTAGTTGTGGGGCTTGCATAAACTGAGACAAAACATGAACAACATAGCAAATATCAGGACGAGTGATGGTCAAATACAAAAGACGTCCCACAAGACGACGGTACTTCGCAGGATCCTTGAGCTCCGCGCTGGTAGATCGAGCAAGGTTATGTGTAGTAGGTAACGGAGTATCAGCATGCTTACATCCAGATAAATTAGCCTCTTGAATGATATCAAGAGCATACTTGCGTTGATTGAGAACAATACCAGTCGAAGAGCGAGCACACTCAATGCCCAAAAAATATGAAATAGGTCCAAGATCCTTGAGATGAAAACAATCATCCAAATATTTCTTGAAAGAAGTACAGAAAGACGGATTATTGCCCGTAACAAGAATATCATCAACATAGACAAGAACAGCCAATATATCAAGACCACGACGTAGAACAAATAAAGTATGATCTGCATGTGCCTGGCGAAAGCCGTAAAGACGAAGAGCCATACGGAATTTAGAAAACCAATTGCGAGGAGACTGGCGAAGACCATACAGAGATTTGCGCAAGCGACAGACTTTACCTGGAAACAACTGCTCATACCCGGGAGGAATCTTCATATAAACCTCATCATCTAAATCCCCATGCAAAAAAGCATTGTTGACGTCCAACTGGTCTACCTGCCATCCTCGAGCAACAACAACAGACAAAAGAACACGTACTGTAGCTAGTTTTGCTACAGGGGCAAAGGTGTCAGTGAAGTCAATACCTAACTCCTGATGATTTCCAAGGACTACAAGACGAGCTTTGTCCCGTTCTTTGGTGCCGTCAGATTTAAACTTAGTCCGATACACCCATTGACAGCCAAGTGCTCGCTGGTTTGGAGGAAGAACAGTGATATCCCAAGTATGGTTTTGCTCCAAGGCTAGATATTCTCGTGCCATTGCCTCTCTCCAGGAAGCATATTTAACAGCCCCGCGAAAACTCTTCGGAATAGTGGAAGCATCAATAGCCCCAAGAAAACCCTTGTACGTGTCATGTAACTTATTATAATGAACAAAGTGAGTAATAGGATATCGTGTACCCGAAGAAGATGAACCTGGCAACAAAGGAAGTGGCGTGTCAGACTTTGCATGGTTAAGGACGTAATCATCAAAACGAGATGGGAGACGACGGGTACGTGGAGGTAGAGGTGGAGGAGAGACTGACGGAGTAGTGATCTCTGTCGAAGAAACTGAAGGGATTGGTTCCTCACCACTGGAACCAATCCCTTCAATCAACCATTGCCGGCGTGGAGTGAGAAAGCGGCGAAGAGGGTGAGGATGGCGTGGCCTGTGGCGACGATGCTGTGATGAGCTCGGGCAGACCATCGACGGCTGGAACATCAGCCGGTGAAGGAGACAGAACGGGTTGGGGAGGGGAAGACTTGGTTGGAAGAGCAAAAGGAAATTGGGTTTCATAAAAAACATCCCGAGTATGAAAGAATTGATGGGTTTCGAGATTATATACTCGCCACCCTTTTGTACCATATGGGTAGCCTATGAACATACACCTCACACTTCGAGGAGAGAATTTATTTGTGGGTTTGGGCATTTGACGAACAAAACATAAACAGCCAAAAACCCGGAGATGACTCAAATCTTGTGGTTTAGAAGACAGGATTTCCAAGGGTGATTTACCTCCAAGAAGTTTGGATGGAGTGCGGTTGATGAGATACACTGCAGTTTTTACACATTCCCCCCAAAATTCTATCGGAAGTGAGGCTTGAAACATGAGAGACCGAGCGACATTTAAAATATGAAGATGTTTGCGTTCAACTTGGCCATTCTGTTGGGGAGTACCTACACAAGAAGTTTGTATACAGACACCCAAATCATCATAGTATTGACGCAACGAAGAATTCAGAAATTCAGTACCATTGTCAGATCGGACAATTTTAATGGTTTTGGAATAAGAATCATAGTAAAGAAACATTTGAGACATGAAGTAACCTCACCCTTCGTTTTTATGAGATACACCCAGACAGCGCGAGAAAAATAATCAACAATAGTGAGAAAGTAATGTGCAACAGAGGATATACAAGCAGAATACAGTCCCCATAAATCACAATGAATCAAATCAAATAGAGCATCAGCTTTATTATGACTAATGGGAAATGAAGAACGAGTCTGTTTTGACAAAAAAACAAATTTCACAAGTCTGTACCTTTTTTACAACAGAGATCGTTTTATTGAAACCAAGTAAAGGAAAAACATCGGAAGAAAGGTGTACCAATCGTTGATGAACAACCAAGGGATCAACATTAGCAACAAGAGCTGGCGCGGAGGGAGCAAAGATGTACACACCATTCTGAAACTTGACATATAATTTTGAATTTTGTATAAAACTTTATTTATTTAACATAAATTAATTTATTTATACTAATGATTTAGATATGAAGATAAGAAAATTTTTTAATGCTTATTAAAAAGCAACGAAATAAACTTTAAATACAAAAATTCTGATCACTAAAATATCTCGTTTGATTTTGTTATTTTAAGAAATTAAAAAATGTTATGTATCAAACTATCTTAAAACAATAAAACAAAATTAAATATATTAAGATAAAACAATATTTAAAGTACGTACCTTTTCTATGTCCTTTTTTGTTGAAGTATTCCTTTTCTCCTTTTTCTTACATCTCTAGCTGATCTCGTCCATGTATCGTTAACTTGATTTTCCATAGCCCCAATTGAAATTGAAAAATAAGATGCTCCTACCACTAATCCTTTTAAAAACAAAATGCTGAAGTTGAATTAACGATTCTCCGTTTCTTTATTGCATAATTGATTCTGAATGGCTATGTATTGAAATGGAAAATGAAAATGGGTGGTGGATGTCACATTTCAACTCATTATATATCTCTTTTTATACTAGGATTTTGACCCAAGTATATAAGAGTTTTTATAAATTTGGATATAAAAGTGACTAATTTAACTCATTGCCAGTTAGATATATAAGTAAGGAATTCAAAATAATATTGTGTCCATCCTATATAGATTACGAATTCATTACTAAAAATAAATAAATCCAGAATAATATTATTGATTATCCAAGATACATAATTAAGGATTGCTATATATAAGTAAAGGGATCCAAAATAATATTAGTATTATCTAACATACATAATATAAGTAAGGTGATGAATAATATATTCATGATCATAATTTTCAAATTTAATACGGAGTACTATTTAGGATTGTTTCTTAATAATATTTTTCGTAAATTTTGTCAAACCCCATATGTTAATGAAATAATCTATTCTTGGAAATCATATCATACCATTCATGGCTATGCATTAATCATTTTCTAATGCACGGCCCTATTAGGAGAGTTTCATATTTAATTATTTACTTAACTTTTGTATTTTAGGAAAGACTTTGCTTTTGATTTCCTTTTTTAATTCTTACCATTTTTTATCTATTTCTTACTTTGATTACTTTATTACTTTTATTCACAAATTTTATATCCGGTTTTTATTTCCTTTGTTACAATAGTTTTTATATTTCATAATAATTAGTACTTTTTTTTATAAATAGTAATGTAATATTATACATACAGACTTTTAAATGTAATATATTAGATTTTTATCTGATCATGTTACAAAAATTTTAACGCATTACCATTAATATTTTTTTATTATTTCAGTATTAACATTAAATTAAATTATTTTCATATTTAGAAATTTAAAAAATAAAACAAAAAAAATACCGCAAAAATGGAATTAGAATAAAACAATATAACGCAAACTTTGCTTCTGATTTCCTTTTTTTAATTCTTACCATTTTGTATTTATTTCATTCTTTAATAGTACCTATGTAATAATATAGCATGAAATTCTTACCTTTTTTAGATTGTCGTATATCATCAACCATAGATGATGAAATCTTCAAAGATCGACAACTCATAGATATGTACATTTGGACGGGAAATTGACTCGGCTAGATTTCCCCTGCTTTTACGAATAAGATTTTTTAATTCTTACCATTTTGTATTTATTTCGTTATTTAATACTCTCTCCATTTGCAAAAAGACTTCTCATTTTGATTTGGGGCAAAAATAAGGAAGTGTTAAATTATAGTTGATTTCCAATTTTGTCCCTAATGTGATGAATAAAAGTAAGATGTGATAGATAAATTATTAAAGAAAAAGTATGATGTGATAGGTAGGTTATGAAAAAGTAAGGGTAAAAGTGGGTTTTAATAGAAAGGGGAAGTGTTTTGTTGGAAGTAGAAAAAATGAAAGAAGAAGTGTTTTTGAGAACAGAGGGAGTAGTACCTATGTAATAATATAGTACTTCGTATGAAATTCTTACGTTTATCAACCGTAGATGATGAAATCTTCAAAGATCGACGACTCATAGATATTTACATTTGGACGGGAAATTGACTCGGCTAGATTTCCCCAGTTTTTAAGAATAGGATTGATTATACCCAAACTCATGTCATTTGAATGGAAAATGCTATGGGTACACCAAAAGTGTACCCCAAACATCCCCACCCTCTAGCATATCTCACCCATTTGGTAGAAAAGAGAGTAATGTACATTTGGGGTACACATTTGGTGTACCCCTAGCATATCTCACCCATTTGAATTGCTAGCCCAATTAAAATTAAGGGGCTGTTTGGCAACTTCTGAATCGGTAAGTGCTGAACCAGTAAGAGGTCTGCACCATTAAATGCTAAACCAGTAAGAGGTCTGAACCATTAAGAGCTAGTATATTGCTTAACTATTCAGAGGCAAATGTCTGATCAATTCAGATAAGAAGTTTTAACCATTCAGACTCTATATAATACTTACCATTTAGGGGCAAATCTTTTAACAATTCAAACATCTCAATCATTAACAGAATGAAACAAATAGTAACCATTGAGACATCAAACACCCCATAGTCTCCACATTCACTCCTCTGTGGTCATTCGCCTCTTCCGATCTCTCTCTTCCATCGGCTCTCTCCAGTTTTAGTCCTTCATCTCCTTTAGATCGAGATTGCGTCCAGGCTGAGTATCCGAGCGGCTAGGTCTGAGTTCTATCTACGTTTTCTCCGCCTCCGTCTTCCTAGCTAAAAACTCCTATCCAGGTATATGTTTTGGATTTTAATTTTTCTTTTGTTCTGTAACATTGAATCTTCGTCCACCTGTGAGTAGTGAGCATTTAGGGCAGAGATCTAGGGAGACCTCTTCGAGGTGGCTTCGGCGTTTGGAGAGGGAGGGTAAATACCATGTTGAAGCCTGGTCTTAAGCTCTCCTCTCATGTCCTCTTTTTTTGACATATGTATTTCCTGGTGTGTTATGAAGTATAATTTTGGTTTGGAAAGGCAGTGTTGGTATTATTATTTCTTCTCAAAAATGTAAAAAAAAAATTACTACGTATTTTATTTCAAAATTAATTTTTTTGGGTTCACATATGACTGGATTTATAATAACCATAGTTGGGTTTTAATGATGCATCTTGCTTCCCTAGAAATCTGCTCCATTTTCCAACTTGCTTGGATGGTGTATCAATAACTATCTAAACCATTTGCCCTATGATTTTATCCCTATAAATAAAAAACGTATTTAGACATCTAACATGAGGGTCAATGGAGGAGAGGCATAAAATAACTTATTTAGAACCTCGCTATCATATTTGCAAGCCCGTTCCCTAGATCCTTTATTTTAGCTTGTTCTGCAATTATGTTATTTTAGCTTTTCCTTTATTTTAGCTTGTTCTGCAATTATGTTGTTTTATATAACATTGATGCTGCTGAATCGATGCAGCTGTTTAATGTGGGACTTGTTTGGTGTTGGCATTTTGTTTTAACCCCATTTTCTCTTTAAAATGAACATATCTCACAATTAATATGAGTGAAGCATTGCGCATTTGTGTTCTGTCATGGTGTTGCAGCACCCGAATAATAGAATTGTAGTATTTAATTATTTATTGTACCTTGACATTCCCATTATTTTTTCTTTAACTAGAAAATGTCTCATGATCAACATGTTTGTGAAACAAGAAAGCGTATTAGAGATGATGATGGTGATGATGATGAAATGGAACTCAATATTATAGTTATTGGCTTTATCATTGTATTAGTGGGAGCATGGTATAAAAAGTATAGGGTGAAGGAAGTATCTTGGAACGAACAAGAACGTGCTAGAAAAAGAGCATATTGGATGGATTCATTAATGAATGATAGAATTTGTAGAGATCAATTGCTTATGGATAAGAGGTGTTTTGACAAGTTGTGTCACATCTTACAATTCAAAGGAGGTCTTGTGACTACTAGACATGTCACGGTGAGAGAAGTGGTGGCATTCTTTCTTCATACACTTGCACATGACCTCAAAAATAGAACTATTGGAGCTGTGTTGTGAGTCGTCAATTTCATATGATGCTACACGCTGTAATGAAGATAGGCAAGTATTACATTAAGCAAGTTGACTCAACTGTAAGCTATGCTAGAGATAATAGATGGAAATGGTCTGAGGGAGCACTTGGAGCACTTGATGGGACACATATACAAATGACTGTCCCAATTAAAGACCGGCCTAGATATCGAGACACGAAAGGTGATATTAGCACTAATGTCTTAGCCACTTGTGATCCCAGTCTTCGCTTCAATCATAGTTATCAAGACATTGCCTAAGCGTCGCCTAGGTGACGCCTAGGCGTCTGGGCGAGATATTGGGGACGCCAAATTGGTCGCCTAGATTTTTCCGCCTAGAATTTGACTTGTCATCGATTAAAACACGGCAGGTTACCTGGAAATATCTGAATCGCAGCAAAGATTCAGAATTGAAGGTAAAAACGTGGATTCCGATTGTATAATCGTCCAATTCAGGCACGATTCGATCTTTGAAGATGCAATGCGGGTCGAGCGAGGAAGTGAATTTGCTTCTCGTCAGCTTAATTAAAAGATTTACGAGTAATTTCCGGCTACTCGCGGGTTAGGACTTACGACCCATTAAAAAGTAAAAGGAACAAGACTTTAAGGGTCGGGTCGGGTGGTTTATACGCCTAAATTTATTTTAGAAAACATAAATGGGTAGTGGGGGTACTGTACACTGGGAACTACTCTAAAAATTAAAAGAAACAAGAATTTGTGGGTACTGTACATTTATGGAGATGGAGTAGTGGGGGTACTGTTAGGGGTGTTCATCGGTCTAAAATCGGACCGGATCGGACTGAACTGGACCGGACCAAAGATCGAAATATGCCAAAACTTAGACCGAAGACCGGACCTAAATGATCTCGGTTTTGGACCGGACCGGACCGAAATCACATGGACCGAACCGAGAAGACCGAAAAGACCGAATCCATGCTTATTACCTGGAAATCTGGAGAAGAAGATGATGGTGAAAAAGATTAGAGATGGCTGACTGCTGAGGAATTAATCGTACCTTCGCAGATTCGATTTAAGCCTTTCGAAACAACTCAAACAAGGAGATATGAAATTTGAGAATCGTCGGCCATCGGCCGTCGCTAATCCGTTGCCCGTCCGTCGCCCGTTTGAGAATCGCCTGAGAATAAGAAACATCGGCTGTTGGAAACAATGGTGTAAGGACGGCGGGTCAGTGACGATTGGGAATTACCGAATTGAGATGGGTGTTTGGCGTATTTGGGTTATAAAAATTGGATTTGTACAGTGGACTGGACTTCTTCACTCTTGGACCAATTGAAAATTAAATGGGCTATTCCGGTCTATTCGGTCCAGACCGATTGTGAATCGGGTCTAGACCGGACCGGACTGAAACCCGAAATGTTAAATTTATAGGACCGAAGACCGACCCGAAATCAATTCAGTCCGGGTTCGGTCTGACCTATCGGTCCGGTTCGGTCGGTTTTTTCGGTCTGGACCTAAACATGAACACCCCTAGGTACTGTACTGGGAATTATTCTGAATATTGCAGTTTCTAATTACTCTTACTATTCTATACCTAAAGGTTTTTTTCTTCATCTCGTTTGGTATCTGACTTGATGAGTTGCTTCTTTGAATTTTTTATACTCCCTATTTATATATTATCAACATTTTGGTACTTATTTTTTTAGCATAATTGTACTATTTAATCATTTTATTTATTTATTTCATACTATGTGTGTTTACATTAGTACCTAAAAAAATATCAATATTGACATATCCCACTCGCCCAAGGGACGCCTAGGCGGGCACTTTATTGCCTAGGCGTCTGGAAGGTGGTCTAGCGCCCAGCCTCGCCTAGTCGCCGTAACAACTATGGCTTCAATTATGTTTTGCCTGGTTGGGAGGGATCTACTTCCGATCCTCGCGTCCTCAGGGACGCCCTTCGAAGGCCTAATGGTCTAAGAGTTCCAAGAAGTAAGAGAAATTAACTTTGACTTATTTTTTTCTATTTATTTTTAATATTGTTTACATTTATATGTGATACATTTTAATACTTATATTGTTATTGTTTCTATCACAGATAGATATTTTCTCATGGACTTGGGTTATACTAACAAACTAGGCTTCTTAGCTCCTTATAGAGGCACTCGGTACCATTTGAATTTGTGGAGAGGAAGTACTCCAACAAATTATAAGGAGCTATTTAATTTGCGTCATTCATCTGCCCGAAACACCATCAAAAGAGCATTTGGTTTACAGAAGAAGTGATGAGCTATACTTAGAAAAAGTAGCTTTTATGATAAGAAAACTCAAGTCAGAATAATTAATGCTTGCTTTATTCTTCACAACTTTGTGAGAGATGATAATATGGAAGAAAACAATTTGTTGGCAGAGGTTGATGAGGACTTATAAAATAACAGAGTAAAGACACAACAAGCATAAAGCATCAAGCATATAAAGAACATAGCCACAAGTGCAAAACTACCATTAAGATTCAAGCCCCAAACCCCTACACAACTATCTTAATCCTAGCTCTCCGGTGGGGGAGCTTAAGTGGGGAGAAAATCCCAGAGCTGATTGCACGTGTTCAAGAGAGAGGTGCATGGGAGTCCTCTGGGTAGGCCACTAACATGTGGGCTGATACTCCTAACTACATCAGAAAAGCTGCAAGAGAAGTGATGGGTGTAAGCTGCAGCTCAAGAAGTCGGCATAAAGGTGACTCATGGTGGAGTGATGTGTTTCAAGGGCTTGATAAATGGATTGGTAGCTTTTCCCCCACCCTAATCGAACTACTCTATTACTAACTTCGTTGCCCAAACTATCATTTCTTTATGTGCAAAAAAGAAAGAGAACTATTTTAGGGAGACGAAGTTAGTATAAAATTATGTACACGAGAAATTGTGTATTCCTGGAATCCCCTACATCTAAGTCAGCTAGGAGTCTATAACATACAAACATGATGCACATAAGCTAGTGAGGTCGAATAATCATGTGATTCTTTGGAAACTTTATGATACAACAATACAAAGACAAGTATATTGACAGAAGAAAATTGGAATTGATTTGAAGAATACCACATAATTTGAAACTAGGAGTGGTGATCAGAAATCTACCTGAAATAAGATTACGATAGCATGCAGATGCAAGGGATGGCCACTAAGCCAACAAGAAAGGAATAAATTATACCATCATAGGTACCTAACATGGAGTAGAAATTTATTTGGATGAGTGATCTTCCACCTCAAATAGACTATGTGATCTTATACAATGTAAGACATATTTCGTATATCGTTTCTCAGATTTAAGCCTGTTGGGGTGGTTTCAAGTTTCGGATTGCCTTTTTTCTTTTTTGAAAACATAAAGCTCGCTTTTGGAAAGCATACAATTGAAACATTTCAATCATATTTGGCTGAAAATGTGCCTATCTGCGCTAGCATCTCAGTAAAACATATATTCAAAAAAATGAAAACCAAAAAGATATTTCTCGCACATTCAACAGACAAAGTACACATCGACACGTTCACTCAAATCAACACAATGCAACCCAATTTATAGATAATTACGTACTTGTTTCAACTTCAGATGAGGCGCACACAAAATCTTTTTGGGACAGATCTGAGTTTGTATTATTGCAATGAAGTGAATGAGAAAAAATAGGAAAAAAAACAACCTACTCTCCTCATGCAGCCAAAGAAGATGCTTGACGGGGGGCTAGTGGTGGCTGGTCGGTAAAGAGGAGGATCTTCCGGAGTGGATACGAACCTGGGATTTTGAGATTTTTATGTGTTAACTGGTCAGGCGTGATCTCATCAATGTTGAAACAGATGGATTTATATGTGCCGTAAAAAGTAATGAAGTTTAAGGAAATGGGAAGAATCAAGTGGGACGGATAAAAAAGAAAAGTGAGAAGAAAGATATGGGACGGAGGGAGTACTGCACTTAAAAGAAATAGAATAAATGATCCATATTAATTCTCAACCAATTCTTAAACTACATAAAAAATACTTCTTGGGGTGGGGGGGTGATGGAATATTAAAAATATTTGTAAACTTCATTACTTTTTACGGCACATATAAATCCATCTGTTTGAACATGGATAAGATCAGGCCCGACCAGTCTAGTCAGCACATAAAAATCCCAGATTCGCAGTCACTTCGGAGGATCCTCCCCCTTACCGACCAGCCGCCACTAGTCCGCTGTCAAACATTTCTCTGGCTGCCTGAGGAGGGTAGGTTGATTTTTTCCTAATTTTTCTCATTCACTTCATTGGAAAAATACAAACTCAGATCTGTAATTGCGCAGAAAGATTTTGCGCGTGCCTCATCTGAAGTTGAAACAGGTACGTAATTATCTATAAATTGGGTTACATTGTGTTGATTTGAGGGAACATGTCAATGTGTACTTTGTCTGTTGAATATGCGAGAAATTTCCTTTTGGTTTTTATTTTTTTGAATATATGTTTTACTAAAATGCTAACGCAGATAGGCACATTTTCAGCCAAAATTGCTTGAAATGTTTCATTTTTATGCTTTCTAAAAGCGAGTTTTATGTTTTCAAAAAAAGAAAAAAGGCAATCCGAAACCGGAATCCACCCCAACGAGCTTAAATCTGAGAAACGATATACGGAATATGTCTTACATTGTATAAGATCACATAGTCTATTTGATGTGGAAGATCACCGATCCAAATAAATTTCTACTCTATGTTAAGTACTTATCTGTATGATGGTATAATTTATTCTTTTCTTGCTGTCTTAGTTCCTATCCCTTGCATCTGCATGCTATCGTAACCTTATTTCAGGTAGATTTTTTTTATCACCACTCCTAGTTTCTAATTATGTGGTATTCTTCAAATGAATTCCAATTTTCTTCTGTCAATATACTTGTCTTTGTATTGTTGTATCATAAAGTTTTCAAAGAATCACATGATTATTCGACCTCACCAGCTTATGTGCAACATGTTTGTATGTTATAGACTCCTAGTTGACTTAGATGTAGGGGATTCTAGAAATACACAGTTTCTCGTGTACATAATTTTATACTAACTTCGTCTTCCTAAGATAGTTCTCTTTCTTTTTTGCACATAAAGAAATGATAGTTTGGGCAACGAAGTTAGTATTAAGGTAGTTCGATTAGGGTGGGGGAAAAGCTACCATCAAGCCCTCGAACCACATCACTCCACCACGAGTCACCTTTATGCCGACTTCTTGAGCTGCAGCTTACACCCATCACCTCTCTTGCAGCTTCTCTGATGTAGTTAGGAGTATGAGCCCACATGTTAGTGGTCTCCCCAGAGGACTCCCATGCACCTCTTTCTTGAACACGTGCAATCAACTCTGGGATTTTTTTCCCACTCAAGCTCCCCCACCGGAGAGCTAGGATTAAGGTAGTTGTGTAGGGGTTTAGGGCTTGAATCTTGATGGTAGTTTTGCACTTGTGGCTATGTTCTTTATATGCTTGTTGTGTCTTTCCTCTCTTATTTAGTTTGTTCCCTATTTTATGTGTGTTTAGTGTTACCTTAGCCGAGGGTCTCTTGGAAACAAGCTCTCTACTTTCGAGTAAGGGTAAGGTCTGCTCACACACTCCCTCCCTAGACCCCACTTGTGGGATCCAAGTGCGTTGTTGTGCTCTGTTTTTCTCTTATGCTTGTTATTAAAATAAATGATGAATCTGTTATAGAAATGGTTTTTTAGTGCATTATGGAAATAGTTTGATATAGGAGTTCTGTTGTTAAGTTTTAGTCTTATTTAATGTGAGTAGCTTCCAATTTTTTGGTTTCAGAGGAATAAAGGATTTTTTTTACTAATTACTAATTCATCTGATGTTAATTGTTATTAAGGTCTCGTTTGGTATACAGAATTCAAACTATGGAATTGGAATTGAGGACTTCAATTCCAATTTTCATGTTTGGTAGCACAAAAATTATGTGGATTTGGAAATGGTATTGCAAAAAAGGAATTGGAATTGGGGAATTCAATTCTATGGAATTGAATTCCATGGAATTTTAATTCCAATTCAATTCCAATTCCGTGTACCAAACGGACCCTAATTGAATTTGATTCTCTTGATTTGAAGATTTTTTGAAGTCATGTATTTTTTTACTTGGTTAGATCAGATGTATAGAAATGGAAAAAAAAAAGAACTTTATATCTTTATTGTATACTCCACTTTTTTTCTTTTTTTTGTTGTAAAATTTGTAGGCGAACGAAAGGAATGGTAGGCGATGGCAGAGTGATAGAACACAAGGCATACGCACGAGTTGGCCTTTTAGGAAACCCAAGTGATGTTTACTATGGGAACACCATCTCCTTTAGTCTTGGTAATTTCTGGGCTTCGGTGCACCTTGAGCCTTCGTCTGAGCTGCTCATCTCCCCTCATCCTACTCACGATCTTGTTGAGTTCAATTCCCTTCATCATATGGTCTCTCTCTCTCTCTCTCTCCACCTTATGCCTTTGAATTGTAGTGTGATACTTAGATTGACATTGTTTTTGCATCTTGAACTGTCTTGGCTGCTGTGTTCAGTGTGTTGATTACTGTGTAGTTGTCTTCCTCCTACACTTGAGGGAGTACATTGGGTTTGTTGTTGTTCTTGAGGTGACCAACCCTTAGTCCTTACAAACCGTTTCTTTACCATCGGTTATTAGCTTTTTCACGTTATCTGAACGGTGACCTTTTTCTTGTATTTTTGCACTTAATGACTATAGTAAGTATTTTATTAGATTATTAAAGATTGCACCTACAACATGGTTAGTTATTTGGGTATAATTTTTGGATGAACACTTTATTTTTTGTTTTTATCAACCAGAGTTATTTTATTAACCTGAACTGCCTTATGTTAGTTTGGTCAGTTTTATTAGTGATACAAAAATACTTTTGCTAAAATTCTTTCAGGCATAGATATTTCAGGCTAAAATGCTCTCAAGGGAAAAAAAGATGCTCAAAATGTTTTTGTTTTATTTTTCTAATCACTGATGATGGCCCATGTATTATACACAACTAAAAAACACTATTGTTAAAGCTCTTCCCACTTCGACATCAATATGGTTCTTGTTTATCTATAGCAATTATCAAGTGATATAATGTGTTTTGACTCAGGTAAACCGGTTGCAAAATGAGGGTTATTATGGTGGAGTTAGGTTGCTTATGGCAATATGTAAGGTGTTTTACAATTACTGCAAACATAACAACATCAGTCTGCACGAAGAAAATTTCAAGCTCTCATACGATACTAACATTCCCCGACAGGTAGCCACTAAGCCCATTGCTATTTTCCCTTTAGTTTTTTAAACAAAAAAACCCATTATATTGGCCACTTATATGGTATACTTGTTTTTTTTAATCATCACTTTTTTTCATTTAAGCACTCCTTGTTCTTTTTTTAAAAAAGTACCAATGTCCTGATAAGGCATTTAAAGTATTTTTACTTATAATATGGAGGTTTTTTCTCAATTTTCCTCCATAAACTTATTTTCAAGAAATTGAAGTAAATGTATTTTTCTTCCTCTAGAAAAACACTTACTCCTTCGAAACAAGTAATCTCAAACACTAACATTTCAAAGGACTCCTAAAAATCCATGCTTTTTATCATTTCAGACAGGTCTTTCCGGCTCTAGTGCAATTGTATGTGCTGCACTAAGTTGTCTCCTTGACTTTTACAATGTTAGACATCTGATTAAAGTTGAGGTCAGACCAAACCTCATCCTCAGTGCAGAAAAAGAACTTGGGATTGTGGCTGGTTTACAGGATAGGGTAGCACAGGTCTATGGTGGTGTTGTTTATATGGTATGCGTGATTGATGTGCGGATATTACATATTGCCTTTGCTGAATCATGAAATTTGTCATATAGGTGAGGTAAAAAAAGATCATTTGTAATCACATTATTCCCTTACAGGATTTTGGCAAGAGGCATATGGATGAATTAGGTCATGGATTGTATACACCCATGGATATTAATCTTCTCCCTCCTCTGCATCTAATCTATGCTGAGAATCCCAGTGATTCTGGAAAGGTCAGTGTCATGATTCACACTTTTTGTGTTTAAACTTCATTATAATTTTTTTTACATGAGAGCTTTTTATTCTTATCAAGTTAAGAAATGTACACCATGTGAGTATTGTATTATCAACACAAGTTGTTTTAACCGTTTTCGTGGTACAGGTCCACAGTTCAGTTCGCCAAAGGTGGTTAGATGGGGATAAGTTCATAATATCTTCAATGGAAGATGTTGCAAAAATAGCTGTGGAAGGGAGAAAAGCATTGCTTGAGAAGGACTATACTAAGATTGCAGAGCTTATGAACAAAAATTTTGACCTTCGAAGGTAAAAGTATTTATATGGAATATATATGTCGCATATTCCTGACTTCTTGTACGGTTGCGAATGTTTTCTTGTGCTTTTTTGACACCCAACCACTGTGTCATACATAGTTGTGAATGGCGAATGGCGAGTGGCGGGCGAGAGGTTCTTTTTTATGGCGAGAAGCGTGGCGAGCGGCGGGCGGTCAAATGGCGAACATTATATATATTTATATACATATATATACATATATACACACACATATATATATATACATATATATATATATATATATATATATATATATATATATATAGTTTAAGTCCAAACTTTTAGTCTTAACTTTTATCAAACATAATTATCAAAGTAAAACATGAGTTATTGCTGAAAAACTATTATACAAAAAAATGAAAAAAATATATCTAAGTGTGAGTGTGACCTGTGAAGTGAGCTGTAAAGAAACAATAACCATTCAAAAAAAATAAGAAAACAAAAAAAAAGTCTGAATGACCTGCGAAGTGTGGAGTCTTACTTTCGCCGGCTTTGACTCTGCCTCTGCGCTGTTTAGACTCGCGAGAGAGAGAGAGTTCACTGCGAAGAAGTG